TTTCAGGAGAGATTGGACAGTGGGGAGAATTATTGTGATACCTTTGGTAGAAATAATAATTAACATACAACGCAGGGAAGCACCACACCATTCTTATGATGCAATGAGTTGGGTAAGTCAAAGTGTCTTCATGCTACTGATGAAAAACTGAGGCACCATGAAGTGAAACAACTTGCCCTAACATTACAGAGCAGGTCAATGTGAAAAAAGGCAGCTACACGCAGAGGCCGAACCAGAGGAGATGCACTAGTGCACTTGCACCTGCTGTGATTCCTGCCTAGCAGTGGCAGCAGCATTTCTAGCCAGGCAGTGCTGAGGGAGCCACTTGAAGTCATTGCTCATTATCATCTACCCGATCCCTTGTAACTCTTCATTCCACAGGTATTAGCAACCGTCATCTTTTTAATGGTCTTGATGTTCCACCAATCAAACTATCCTTTGTTCTGCAATTCTGCTGTCTGCTAGCTGCTCCTGGTAATGAAGCTCCTATGCCACAGCCCTGCAGATTGTCTTTAACTCTTTGGAATGAAATTATATTCATATTTGCTTCAATCTTAAACTGCATAATATAGCCCTTGGGCTCTAGTGTATTAGTAAAGCTTCTGATTTATTTTTAACTGGAGAAAAATGTGTTAATATGCGATGATGCACCTCACCATCTGCATCGCCCTTTCAATAGTCTAGCTCTGCCCATGGCCACATGAGTCAAAGCTCTTGGGACATCTCTGTATCTGTTTGTATAGCACCTTGCACAAAAGCGCTTCAACCAGTACTGAAACTTCTTGAAAATATTATAGAGTAATACATCCATGGACAGGCAGAGGAAGGCTAGGTCACAATTCAGCAATTCTGTCTCCCATTTCCATGCCATTCCAGTAGACTTCATTGCTGATAATAAACTGATAGTATACCCACTTGCTTTTGCAGTTGCTTTTGATTCTGCACATTACATTTCACAGTGTCTAATCATCAAGTAAACTGCACGGTTCTCATATTTGAAGGGAACCCCTAGGGCAAGGCTTGGTCCACATCTGATGCATTGCTTTCTGGAGCTACCTACAAATAATAAACACTGATCATGTGATGAGATGGATCATGAGGCTTGAGTTAAGAGCCCCTGTCTTAAAGACAGCAATGTGGTTACAAACAACTGTGGCCCATCCATTAAAAAGGAACAGTCACCCTGTTAGTACGGGTGGCACAGAGTAGTAGTTATAGCTGTGTTTACACTAAATATGTCCTTAAATCTTGTCACTCTTGCTTTTGCATTAATGGTAGGCACAGTGGGACTCTAACATAGATGGGTTGCTGGCATTTCGACAACTGTCATGTTGCAATAGTAATGCCTGGCGCTCAGATAGAGCTTGTCATCATCAGGTCTCAAATAAACCTTTACACGGGAAGTCATTATCATTACCTCCATTTTACA